TATATAATAAAGATATTTCTAAAAGCTTGAGTCATTCATAATTCTAGGCCAATCATATCATGGAGGAATATTCCAACTTGTATAACAATATAAATGGTCCTGGACAAAAGCATCAAATAAATAAAAATCATTATTTTTAATGATCAAAAACATTAAACAAAGGGCTTCTTATGAATGAACCTTAGTTTTCAGTTAATTCATATAGATCTAATTTATATAACAGGTTTGTTTCTGAGTTAAAAAATCACATGGGATCTGGGCTGGCCTGATAGCTCAGTGGACTAAAGCTCCTGCTTAGTCAAAGCTCAGTGGCCAGAGTTCGATCCCCACCATGCTGTGCTGGCCACACCTGCAGGGTGCACTGAGATGACAACTGAGATTGGGCATGGTGGTGCATGCCGGTAATCCCAACACTTGGGAGGCTGAAAACAGGAGAATCACTACAAATCCGATCTACATACTGAGACCCTATAAGCCCTGTAGACCCTGTCCTAAATACAAAACAAACAAACAAATAAAAAATTACATGGGATCAAAGGAAGTACACAAATGAGATTTTTTTTTCATTATTATATGATGTTAACCACCTCTTTAATAATCTTGGAAGCAAAAATATATGCTCTTATTATCTGCATACCTATATATCTACTGCATTTTCCCTCGAAGCTCGTAACTCAATTTTATTAGTTTATTCAGGAAATATTTAATGAGGCTCTACCATAAGTCAGGTCCTAATGATCTTTCTACTAAGTAATCATGGTGTTGAATGTTTCTAAATGAATGAAGTATTAATATATACTTTTCCCTCTGTAGAGCTGAGTTTTAACTACCTTTCCTACTCATTCTATCCAAAATTATCTTCCACACTTTCTCAGTTTATATAGGACTCTTTTGCAACCTGGAAATTCTAGGTATCTCAGTGGTTTCTATGCTATTTCAGGCCATGTTGTCTTTCCCCAAATTTGTTGCTTAAATAGTGATGTATAAATACATACATGCATCTAAGTGTCTTATGGGAGTGCCATGTATGGTTTTAAGAGAATCCTTTTCCATTAGAGCAGATACTACAGATAATAAACTGCTATATAAACTTTAGAAAGAGAAAACTGCAATTTATTCTAGAAAATTTGGTTTCTGAATGGGGGAAGCCTACCTGTGGATCTAGCTTTCATAATACCATACCTTGAGTGGTGGGACCTTGGGTTCTTCTCTTGGAGGCTGTTCTTTCTCTGGTGGGCTACTGGATGATGTATTCCGTGTAGACTGATCATCCTCTATCCTAGCTCTCTTTTCTTTACAGATGCCAAAGCTATGCTGCTCTGCAGTTTTCCTCTTTGATATTTCTGATTCTCTACTTTCATTTCTTAAGCCATCAGGTGATTTGGAGGGTTCTGATGACTTGCAAGTATGTGAAGTCTCCAATCGATTCTGTGTGTTCCCTTGCTTATGTGTTTTAGTTCTCAAACCTTCTGAAAATGCAGCCTTATCTACTGGTGAGACATACTGTTTGTCCTGTAATTTAGTTGGTGGAAGCTCATTTCCCTTAGTCTCTAAATCTTCAGAAAAGACAGATAATTCTAAAGGCGAAGACACCCCTTTCTTTTCAGTTCTTGGCAGGACACTGTGATTTTTAGCTTTCATCACTTCTGTAGCAGGAAGGTCTCCAATGGACAGAGGACAGGGCTTTTCAATTTCAATATGTGATTTACAAGGCTGCTGACTCACGGTCTTACCATGCAGTTCTTCAGAAGGAAATGCTTCAGGAGCAATAGCACAAGAACCCATTTTGATAGATTCAGGAGCATTGGGCAGAGGTTTCTGCTGGGAGATAAGGTTCTCGCCCAGAGATTTGGGAGGGACAGAAGGTTCATCTTTCTGTAGAGAGAGGGCTTCTTCAGACCCAGAAGGTGATTTTCTTTGTTGATGCACCATTCTGTCACTCATGGAAGAATTAGAAATTGGAGATGTCTCTGAAGGAAGTGGCAAGCTGGATACAAAAGTGGTCTCAGAGGTGAGAAGCATGGAAGACACTGAAGAAGTTTCTGATGTCAAAGGTAAATCAGACATCGGTGATGTTTCTGAAGTTAAAGGTAAGTTGGATACTGGTGATGCTTCAGATGTTAGTGGTAAGTTGGACAGAAGAGATGCTTCTGATATTTCAGGTGAGGTGGATACTGGAGATATTTCTGACATCAAAGATGCATGAAGGTTTTCGTCAGTGGCATTTCTCTGACTATATTTGTCTGTATGTTCAGTGCTGGAGACCTCAGAGCAAAATGTCATTTCAAGGGAGGCTGGAGTGCATGATTCTTCTGACGTAGACTGGGCTTCTCCTCCTGGGGAGGGCAGGCTAGTGCAGGCTCCCTCTGGGCTCTCAGAAGAGAAGGAGGTTTCAGAGATGCATGCATTTTCAGAAAGCTGTTCATCAGGGTCACTCTGGAGCTCCATGTCTACAGCAATTGCTTCACTTGGGAACTGGCCATCTAGAGAAGATGACCCTGTTTTTATTTTGCAAATATTGTTCTCTACTGCAGTTTCTGGTTCCTTATGTTCTAAATCACTGACATGAGGCACAGATGAAGTAGAAGGAATAAGAGAGTCACAAACTTCTATGTGATCAATGACAACTGACATTTCTTCCTGGGGTGATTCTGATTTCTCTTCAATCTTAACTTCAATATGAGGCAAAGTTTCTAAGACATCATTCATCATAACACAGGATTCCAAGTTACCTTCTGGAGGTGCTAATTGGGGCTCATCATGAGAGGTGGGTGAGCTTTCAGATTCCTCAGAAAATTCAGGTATAGTCTTATGATTTTCATTTTGGCATTCACAAATACTAGTCTCTACCTCTTCTGCAACTTCTTCCTGAATCACAGATTCCTCAGGGATCAAAATATCCTCCGATTCTGATTCCACCATCACATCTTTAGCTGGAACTTCTACCATAGGACAGAGTGTAGCACAGTAATTGGACTCTGGAGAAGCTGGATTTTTCAGGCTTTTGGGCTGTTGTTCTTCCAAGGTGGCCTGTGCTGAAGAACCCAGAAGGCCAGAGGTCCCACCTGAGGAACTACCTTCAGCTCCATCATTGTTTGGTCCAGAAGTGAGCTTCACAGATTCCTCTCTTGATATGCCCAACCTAAACAGAAATTAGAGATATTGAATTATTGCTCAACTACAAAGCATAAAAGCCACAGATTGGGCTGGGCGTGGTGGCTCATGCTTGTAATCCCAACACTGCAGAGGCTGAGGCAGGAGGATCACTATGAGTCTGAAGCCAGCCTGGGCTACAAAATGAGTTCAAGGCCAGCCTGAACTGAGACTCTGTCCCAGAAAGACAGAAAAAAGCCACAAGTTGGAACTCTTACAAATATAATATACAAGAGAAGTTAATGCATCAAATTAATCTTATCACTATGTAACATCATGAGTTATATAAAATATTTTATGATGACATAATTTCTTCACTATTTTTGGTTAAGGAATGTATACTTTTTTATTTTCTAGGCAAGCAGATATGAACTGCAGTCTACCAAGTATTAGCAGAGAATAGAAAATTACAAAGAAAAGATTAGAAAATATGGGCAAAAAACAAAACAAGGACACAATCAAAAAATTTTTAAGTCAGAAAGTATAAAGATGACCTCATGATAGAAAATAATAATCAAAACTAATGGCAGATGGATCAGATATACCAATTCTAAAACTAAAGCATATGCTTAGCTTTGACTCTTAATCTTTGAAATTAATCCAAGAAATATTACTCATTTTACTTAAGCATCTAGCATCTAATTGAAATACTTGGCAACGTCTACTAAAAATCTAAAATGAATTATTATACTAGCTTACATTTGTGTGAGCAAATATTTCTAAAATATTTGTGTATATCGTTTACTGTAAAGACATTACATATAAAATAGTGACAAAAATTAAGAAATAATCCAATCAGGGATCAAAGAAGAATCCAGTTCAGGTCATTGGGAAAAGCTACTCAGAATACCATCAAGCATATTACAATTATACTTCAGTATACTGTAAGTTGCTGATTTTTTTATAGTAGTCAGGTATGACATCAGCTTTACACAGTAGAATGATAAGCTGTTCTAATGGAAGGTAAATAGGATACAGGCAATGATAAAATAACACAAGAAAACAAACAGATAGACACATGTAAATGAAGAAGATAGCTCTACTAGTATTGACACAAGAAAATATTGCAATGAAATCCAATTCAAACTTTTACGTACATAAAATTCCCCAAATGAGAGTAAAATAAAATTGAATGCACCTTGGGGATATACGACCATTGTCTTCTTTACTATAATTGAAAAGGGCTCCAGAAATGTAATGCAAAATACAGCCAGTGTGGTAAGTTTTTTTTTTTCTTTTCAACTTTCCATAAGAAGAAACCTAGCTAAGATACACTTTAGAACTACACTGTATTGAAAGGGGTAAAATAATTATGTTATAGAAAATTTATACCTGAGTAACCAGCTATAGATAAGATCCTTTGGATTTGGGTCAAGTATACACACCACTGATAAGTAGTTAGGCACATAACATACAGAAATATAGATACTGGTGGTCAAATTTCTGTTAGCTGATCAGTAACAATATGATTAAAAATACATACAGATAAAAATATATACATACAAAATTAAATTGCATAAATATACTTATGCATATTAAATATGGCACAGACATAGAAGGTACTCACAACAAACCATATGCTACCTAAAAGAAAACCTGATCCCAGACATCTAGACCATATATCTACAGAATACTCTAAACCTTAAACATGAATAAATGATCTCTAAGTAACCAAAATAAATATAAAACAGTGCTATCTTAAAAGAGAAGCCAATAATATTTATAATAAATATTTCAACTAAGCTAAATCTTATATAAGACATTTAGATAGCAACATTGTTGGAAAACCTTAGAACAGGGAAAAATGTATAGGCTCAAAAGAAAATCGTTTTGTCCTGGGGCAAATCTGGCATATTTGGGGAAATGTAGGCAACTTAGTAGTGAAAGAAAGAGAAGCGGAAACCACAAAATGTTCACAATATACCTATTATTCAGTACATAATCAAAAATAGAAAACAATACAAGACACATGTCTATTGACATAGTAGCAAAATACAGAACAAAACAAAAAACTATTAACAAGTCTGAGAAAGAAGATCCAGTTTAAGAACATTTTGTTTCTGAGCTTTGTGGCAGTGATGGGGAGGCCCATTTATTCACGCTATTACAGTTGTTACTTTCTGGAGAGTAGCCTTAAACTTAATATTCATGGGAGTCTGTGAAGTTTCCAAACATAGCGGAACAGAATGTAAATGTGTGAACTGTTCTTAAGCCTCTGACTCTGAATAGTTAATCTCGATGTGCACACCTGGGAAAATTACTGAGCTTCCTTATTCCTCCGTTTCCTGGTCTTTTGTATTTTATCTCTATGGAAAAAGAAAATGACACCCACCTTATAAGTCCCTGGGAGGAATGAGAGAAAAATACATACTACTCTTTGAAACCTGTCAGAGGCGGTATGTACTCGGTTTTTGGTGTAGAGTAGGGAAGCTCTGCTTAACGCAAAGTCCATCCACATAGGCTGTCTGTGAGCAGAGTCTCAGAGACCCACAGACAGCCTCACTCCTGGCACCTAGAACAATGTCTGGTACAGATGACAGGTGAGAGAAATATCACTGAATTAATGAAAGAATGGATCAAGCATTCGATACAAGCTAAGGACCAATGCCCTGAAGTAACTCAGTTACATTACTGCCATGACTAAAAAGAGTGGCCCCGACATTCACAGAGGAGTCTTCAGCATCGATCTCCAGGGTTCTGTACCCTGCTTGGCTTCAGCATGACTAGAGCGCTTCCAGCAGTGTGGATGCCTGAGTTTTATGAGTGGAGATTATTCTCCCAAATTGCACGTATTTTACAATGTCCAACGAAGGTTTTGATGTGGGCAGGCGTAAGTAATACTGCTCTCACAAGGAGCTCGACACATTATAAACTGTTGAGAAAATGCATTGATTATCTCTGTAGTTTTGCTTAAGTACACATATATATGCTTCTAGGAATTCCAGCACAGCAATAAAAACCAGCTTTACAACTCAAAAGTACCACTTCTGACTAGCAGCCACGGCTGGCCTACACTGGGGAAGCGCTCTGCCCGCTATGTTGCCTTCTGCTCGAGAGCTCCGCTTTTGAGAAGAAACTAGATAGCACAGGTTTTGTAGCCTTAAAAATGTCGGTGTGTCTTTTACATAAAGTAACAACTTTGAAGTCCTAGGTGTGGGCACGAAAGTTAAAGCACAAATTCCTCTACTAAGCAGGACCTAGGAATACTGCCCATAGTTCCCAAGTCTCCCACCTTTCCCCCTAGTGATCCAATCGCCTTTCATACATTCATTCTGCCCAAGCAAAATACATTTATGCTAAACAAGAGGCAGAAGTAAAAACTCCTTTCAGGTTAGTTTGGTGGCTGCCATGCTGCTATGTGGCTGCTATTCCTTTAAGAACCATGCATACATAAACAATAAATGAGATACAAGCTACATTTGACAAAGGAGATGGATAGAGTGAAGGATAACACTTCAGGCTTTCATCAAAGCAAGAACTAAATAAATATTATAATGGACGTGCATATTCAATATGTTCAGAAATAAATGAGAATTTAGCATACCTAAAACTTTGCATCTTTAAATAATCCATTAATGAAAAGACTGGATAAAAACTAGGAGAATGGTCTTGAAATCCTCTTACAAATCTACAATTGACTTCTATAAGATTTTATGTGCTATTTTCAATCCAAAGTGAATTTTCATGAACGAGTTATATATCCTTGAAAATGCATTTTTTTAAATTTAAGTGCTGATATGCCACATAATTTCATCCACAATTTCTTAAACGAGGGACTACTGCCTTTTATCACGAGTTTATTAAGTTTTACAGCATATGAATGTGTCATGCGAAGCAGAGAATCACAGTTTCATTTCCTTCGAAGAAAAATGAGAAAAAAATACACTAGTACTCACTTTTCTCCATAAAACCTCTCAAAAAATTTTTCTTTCCAAGGTTCTGTTTTCTTTTCCTTTTCAATTTCTTGCCTTATTCGTAACTGCATTTCAGGGGTAAACTCTCCTAGGGGGAAAAAATAGTAATCCATTGAGTAAGAGTGGCCGCATCTTTTCTCAATTAAGAAAGAAAACATACAATTCATTTCTGTATACTTTTATGGATGTTGAAAAGTACAATGATGAGTAATGATAACATTTCTACAGCTTTTTTATGAACATCATTCACATAGTCATTTTGTCTTAAATGAACTCTAAAACATCTAGCGAGACGTGCTGCATGCTAAGGGCGGCAAATGAAAGTGCGCACATCTTCATTGTCCTGGGGGAAATCAGTCTGATGGGAGCAAAGGCACATCAGTGACTTATGAAGTAATGTCAAAAGCACCATTTAGGCCATAATAATAATATATGTCATAAAAGTGTAGATGGAAAAGCACGTAATTCTGCCTAAGTCAATTAAGGAGGATTACACATATGAGCTGAGTCAGCTTTTGAAGGATGCCCAGGATTCCACAAAGTGATTAGTAACAAGGCACAAAGACAGGAGTATTTTTATTTACTTTCCTCCCAAAGGCCAATTATGAGCGGAACACAGGATGAAGTAGATTAGAAAAGAAAAGCTCAGGCCAATTATGCAACGCACGTTTGAACCAAGGAGATTTCTGTATTTCCTAAGGGAGATGAAAGGAGGCCCTGGTGCATTCACTGAGGCAGAGATACAGCCAAATAAATAGAAAGATAAAGCAGACGATGTGGTGAAGGCATCACGGGGCTCCCGTTAGGAGGCCATGGAAGAGCACATATGAGGGACACAGAGCGCAGCTGGGTTGGCAGCAGGGGCAATGGTGAAGGGGAATCAGATGGAATTAGCAGTTTAGGATAGAGAAAGGAGGGTCAAAGATACCATGCAGGCTGTAAACCACGGGACAGTGGTGATAGTACAGAGACAACAAAGTGAAGAGCATATGTGAAATGAAAAATAGTATTTTGATTTTGAGTAAAAATATTGAGTATTTTGAGACACAAGCTCGGGGGCCCAAGAAAATAGGGTATGCTTGATCAAGAGCAGGGAGTGAGAGTCAGACCTGGAAGTTATTGGCATCTGTGCAGCACTTAAACTCAAGATGAGTAAGGCTGCTTGGAAAAGGCACAGGGTTGGAAAAGAAAACAGATGCTCCTTAGATGACAGACCAGTAGGAACTCCTGAGGGAGGCGAAGAAAGGGTGTCAGAAATGTAGTGCTATGAAATCACTTAAACTGTACTAGGAAGGCTCAAGTCAGGTGATTTCATACAAGGGAGATGCTGGAGAATGAACGGATCACGTAAGTCATGAGAAGAGGCAGGCAGAGTTGGCCCCAGGAAGGCACGCCTCCTCTCCTCGAAGGCACACGGAGTTTCCTGCGGAATCAGCAGCTCAGGGAGAAGTGACAGTGGGTAGCAGGGAAATACTGTAGTCTTTCAAGACACTTTGTAACTAAAGGAATGAAAAGATGATGTGATGACTTTTGGAGGAATAAAGGAAGAATTAAAAGAAGTCTCTTTAGAAACCAAAACATAAGAATAATGAACCAAACTGTGTAGTTAAAGTTATCACTTTAAAGAAAATAATGCTACATCAGAATTTTTATTCTGTCCAAGATAACTTCGAAAAAAAACCTGGCATCAAAAATGGTAAGTATATCTAAAGAATAAATGAGGTCATTTAGAAGCACTTATGCATAGTTACTGCTTTATATTTTAGGGAGACAAAAACTTGGAGAGAAAGGTATAAAGCTCAGCAGAGTATGTGGACTCCAATATCCAAAGCACAAATCTAAAATTTACCTTCTGCCAGTCGCTGTTTCCACCCTTGTGCTGCATATGCAAAGAATTCATTATTTAGGGCTGAAGTACTGAGACGTAAAATTCCATCACTTCCCATCTAGAAAATAAACCGAAAAAACAAGATTCCATCAAGAATAATTCAAAGCAAAAATATGCAGAATAGAAACAAAATCAAATATTACTGGACTCCATGTCTGTGTGTGTATGCATGTGTATATGTGCATGTGCATGTGTGTATGTGCGTGTGTGTGTGTGTGTGTGTGTGTGTGTGTGTGTGTGTGTTCAGGGATACCATAAAAGCTGTATGTACTCTGCTTTCTTATATAGAGTACAGGAAGAATTAGAATACTATCTTTGATAAGTTTCTTATGTGACTGAGGAAACAAAAACATTAAAAAAAAGATAAATACTGCCAAGCATTATGTAAGTGAGAATTAAGAGGTACCAAAATAAAAGCTAGGGGGAGACATGTAGATGGGCAGGAGGGGTTAGAAAGACATAATCCAAGAGCTAGGATTAGTGCAGGGACAAGACAGCAGCTTTTCAGCAGAAAGGCTAGAGACTGAAACCCACCACATACTGTTGGAAGGCATGAGCTTTACAGCACAGGCAGTGTCCTAAGCAGTCAGGGCTGGACTCCTTACAAGGGCACGGGGATGCTTTAGTCTGATACTTAGAGGCCTGGAAAACTGTAGCAAAACTACTGTTCAAAGATTTTCTTTTCCTTTAGATACTTCCTATTACCTGAAAATACTTTTTGGGGGGAGAAGGAGGGGGGACAGGGACAGTGTCTCTGTGTAGTTCAGGCTAGCTTGGACTACGTAGCCCAGGCGGCCTAAAGCTTGTGCCAATCCTCCTTGTGGCAATCTTAACTGCCTCCTGGGTGCTGGGATTACAGGTATGTACCACCATGCCTGGCTCAAGAGCACAATTTTTATCCCTACATTGTTTTATTTGTTGCTTTCTTTCCTCTTCACCTTCACACCCTGAGAAACTAACCCCTTTCTGAGACTTAACTCAATGTCATGAATATATCAGCTGAATCACTGCTTAGGATCAAGGGAAAATATTGTATCTGTTTGTATTATACCACCTACTCTAAGCTGGACTATGACCAGTTAAACTCTTTTAAAAAGGCAATAAGAACAAAGATGAGATATGCCACTCTCTGACATTGTAACACCCACAGAGAGGCCACAGATTTGAGGTCCTTCGGTTCTTTACCTAAGAAGAAACAAGTAACTGCACTAAAATAGTCAACCACTTGGAAAATTTGGGCAAGATTTCCATTCATTCATTGATTTTTCTGTTTTTATCTTTCTTTCTTTCTTTCTTTCTTTTTTTGTAATTTAGGGAAAGGTCTACAGGGTGTTCAGGGTCTCACTACTAGATCGGACTCAAAGTGATCCACCTGTTTACAGCCTCCCAAGAGCTGGGATTACAGGAGTGCGTCACCACGGCCGGTCTCAATTGCTGTCTCAGTGCACCCCAGGAGTGGGGCTGGCACGGCAGGCCCAGGGATCGAACCCCTGACCCCTGCTCTGTTTTGATCTTTATTCAAAGGATTCTTATTAGGCCAGCTATTTGAACCTATGAGTCTGGCACTTCCTTGTAGAGTGTTAGAAATACAATGGCAATAAAGAAAAAAGGCCCTGTACTTACATTTTGAATATTCTCCACAATAGAATGGATGCTTCTGGTTCTTGTACATCCTTCTACCTGCCTGAGCTCAACACAGCTGTAACACATACTTATGTCCCCATCCCCATTTTCTACCCCATGGACTCACCACAGTCTCAATACACGAGAGGAAAATGTCGCAGATTTCCCATCCTTTAGAGAATTCTAGGACACTTTCTTCTAGAATGTTGTTTATGTACTAAACTAACAAATGCCATTTGGTGGGCTGGGGAGATGGCTCAGTAGAATAAATGCTTGCCTGGAAAGCTCAAGGGCCTGAGTTCAATCTTTGGTTCCACAAAAAAAAAAAAAAAAAAAAAAAAAAAAGGTGTGACAAATGCCATTTGGTGATTGGGTCCCAGAGGCTAGAATATATAGGTCTCGTAACAAATGGGTAGAATGAGCCTTTGTACTCTTAAGTCCCAGGGATCCACTTATGTCTTATGGATAGTTTGAGGCTCACAGTAATGCGAGGAGAAGGGTAAAGGAGCCAAGGTCTCGGAGCTGGGGGTCTAGGTCACTCCAGTAGGCAAACTAGCGGAAGTGCTAGGCAACAGAGGGAGACGGAAGGCTGTAAACACAACCATAAGCCCAACTTAAGACTGTCTTGCAGTCAGTCCCATTCACCCCTTTCAACTCATCATGACCTAATAATCCTTAAAGAATCAGTGACAAAGTGAGGTACAGCAAGATGTGAGGAGTACAGAAAGTAGAGTGTACTAGACAACGGTACTGCTCTATTCATGCTGTTTAGCCTATGCAGTAGAGCACCTGCGGAAATAGGTCAAGTCATTTGTCTCACCCAGACCCACCAAGTTCTAGGTCTTCCACAGATGCACAAAGGTCTCTGAGGCACCCTGTGGGTACAGTGTAGAAGGCTGCATTTGGTCTTAGGAGAAAAGCAAAGTGCAAAGGAGATAAGAGCTTCAAAAATGCTCCCATTCTCCTGTTATCTGTAGGACACTTCTAGGGCTGCTGCTGCACATTTTCTCTGAAGGCCCTCTGTAGCGGTGATCCCTAGTTCTCCACAGGCATCTTCCTGCCTCTCACATTGCTTAATTTGTCTGGCTTTTGTCTCCAAATTAGATTATTAGCTTTCAAGTTCCAAGTTTCTTCTTCGATTTACCTCCACATTTTATTATCTTTTTCAATATGAGCCTAAACGGGGAAAATTATCGAGCGCCTTGTTAGGTAACAGAAGCTATCAAAAATACTGAAGCCTGGATACAGGGTAAACTCAAAATGTAGTCCTCTTTGCTTCATCTAGCACTGCCTTGATGTGCTGCTCTTACTAGGGTAGTGGTGATTACCTCCAAACTCATATTAGCTAGTTGTATTCAAAAATAAAAAAATCTTGTCAGGGGCCAGGGAGATGGCTCAATGGAATAAGCGCTTCCCTAGCAAGCGCAAGGGTCTGAGTTCAATCCCTAGTTCCAAAAAAAAAAAAAAAAAAAAAAAAAAAATTGCTATGGAGCCAGGGAGATGGCTCAGTAGAATAAGTGCTTCCCTAGCAAGTGCAAGGGCTTGAGTTCAATCCCTGGTTCCACAAAAAAAAAAAGAAAAAAGAAAGAAAGAAAAATCTTCTCTTTTGAATATGCAACTCCTTCTGGACATCCCACAGTTTAAATGGCCTCATTTTGGCCATGTTCTAAAATCTGGATACCGCAGGTAGGGAGGCATTGATTGATACGTTTGGGGTCACAAGACCATTCCAAGACTGGGGTAGATGGGAAGAATGACATAAGTTATTATAGAAAACCTTGTGGTCTAACAATTTAACTCCACTCTGTCCATTTTTGTAAAAGAAAATGTTTGTATAAACCTGGAAAACAGATGTTGCTTAAACAAAAATATACATTGTACACACATGTACTCTTTATATAAAATGTCAGTTAAACACTTGTGTATTAAGTTTACAAATAAAAAAATGCTGAAGCCTAAGAAAAGTCTATAAAGATCTGTGCTCGCAAAGACAACTTTTGGAACCATGTAAAGAATGGGCAGGAGAAGGAAAGCCAGCTACAGGGGCAATACTAGAAATGGCACTGGAATATTTCTATTAAAGACAATGAAGGCAAGTCTCAGAGATACTCAAAGCTGGGTTAAAGTTTTCAGGATTCAGAAAAAGGCATCTAGGGAATATTTCAGAAAATATGTAAATTATTCAGGAAGTTTCTGGGAGAGGGAAGAGAAGCAAACGAAGGTTGCCCTTGAGTGAAAGTCTAAAGGGAAAGTCAGTAAGATGCTGTACCACAAGCAAAGAAGCTGATGACAAGAACATCTTCGAACATGCCTCTAGCCAGTCCAATTTTCCTCAGATATAGACTCCAAGTATATGCCTTCATGGCTCAAGAACCTACAGGCAAAATGCTATTCCACGGAAAGATTAAAAGAGGACACTTAGTTTATTGCTTTGATAGATTTATATTTGGAATATTAGGACTAGTGGGCAGAGAGTGAGTACCCTTAGAAGATAAAAGGACTTGTGTACTGTGCTGAACACATATAGAAACTGCAATAAAAAAAAACCTCAGAATTATTCTACAGTTAAGGATACAAACAAAGATTCAAAAGCTCCTACGCTCCACACAATGCTTTCTGTGTGTTCAATACTCTGCAAAAGTTTACTGCACTGTCTTTGCTTTGTGTAGTGAAACATCTAAAATTTAGCTCTGGTAGCTGATATATGGAATTTTGATTACATACATCCTTGCAGGTCAGAAACTTGACTAGTTACTAATTGAATACTTCAGCATTATTTTAAGACACAAAGAAATAGTAGATCAGATTAGCTCTGACAGACTCTCAAGATTTCAGTGCAGGAAAATGCAAAGCAGTGTGACATAAATTCACTCAAGAATATGGAAGCTAGCCCTGCAGGGAAATGTTTTTCTTTTGAAACAGAAAAATAATACGAAACTGCCACATTCCCAGCCAATATGAGACAGCACAATTAAAATAGGCTTAAATGAGACTTAGGAAATACACACCAATAAAACTTTTAAAATATACTATTAATTTTATGACCTTTAAGAAATTCTGTGTAAAAGATACAGCATTTTAATGAACTAGAACAATAAACATTTCTGAAAGGTCTATATTTATTGCTGAGCTATAAATCCCTGTATTTTTCATTAGCCACAACATAAACATTCATTCTAAAAAAATCACCTAAGTCTAAAGAGCTGTCTAGTCAAACTATTGATAAATTATGCTTCCTTTTAAATTAAGAAGAGAAAAACTGTGACCAAAATAACTAGTTCCTTTGATGAGTCTATAATTGATTACATTAACATACATTTTATGGGGTAAATGTCACATGACAGTCGAAGGGTTAAACCAATATTGCTTTTTGCACAGCATTCAACATCTGAAGTTGGGGGCATGTAATTTAACATGAGAATATATTTACATTTA